GAAAAAGTTGTTTGGCATACAAAAACGCGTCGATTGAGTCTATTTTCATCGAACTCGGAGGTGTTGTCGCTAAACTAAATAATTATCAAAACCACAATTTACACTCTACATCACAAATAGTAGTACGAAAAGTAGTACGAAAATCGGAGTGAGTCCCAGATGCGCACATTGCAAACAAACACATCCAATCATATGTCGTTGTTTATAGAGTCTCTAGAATATCTCTAGGCATATGGCGTTGTGGTTGGATGTGATAAAAACGAAATAAAAACACAAATATTTTCTACAAAACTATTTTTTATTTCTCATCAGTTGCATATCCATTGCATAAACAAACGATACATAATTAAATGATGATAAAATAAACGGTGCACATCATTCTGTGTCCAAATGAACAGCAGGCAACTGGACGATGTCCAAGTGAACGGTGTCCAAATGAACAGTGCGCATTCTTTTGTATCCCAGTGAACAGTGGGTGATTGAACGGTGTCCAAGTGAACGGTGTCCAAATGAACGGTGTCCAAGTGAACGGTGTCCAAGTGAACGGTGTCCAAATGAACGGTGTCCAAGTGAACGGTGTCCAAGTGAACAGTGAGCATCCTTCTGTGTTCAAGTAAACAGTGGGCACTTGAACGGTGTCCAACTGAACTGTGTCCAAGTAAACGGTGTCCAACTGAACGGTGTCCAAATGAACGGTATGTAACTGAACGACGTGCATTTTCTTTCGTGTCCAAAAACAACGGTGCCCAAAAGTTTCGTGTCCAAACGCACCGTGTCCAATTGAACTGTGTGTCAAATGCCGTGTCCATTTGCAACGTGTCCAATTGTACTGTGTCCAAGTGCACCGGTCCCGATATGACGACTCGTTAATCTGCTTCGCTTATCGGTAACTGTATTGTTAAGATCAGATATAACTCTCTTCGAGGCCACTGAAGATCCCATTATTATACAATATTTTAAGCCGACTTCTGTTAATGCAAGAGACAGAATTAGTGATCGAAAATATCAATAAAAATAAATATTGATACTGAATTTATAAAAAAAAAAAAAATCGGTACTATATCGATTTTATATCGATACTATTTCGATACATACCTTTAATTTCTAATTCTATACGTGGTTGTTTAAAAAAACATTGATTTCATTACTTACCCCAATCTATCCTAACTGTATATTAGCTCTAATACAGTATGAGTCAGACACTT